TGCTAGAAGGCCCCTTGTTTTTCCCGAATCTCCGATGTTGTACAAGGTCCTGGGGTTTGACAAATGTTTTCAGCGGGATTCGGCTTTAGAGTCTGGGGAAATTTCGTTTCAGAATATTTCTCATTGCGCAAAGCATAATTGGCGGGAGTGCGGGAAGGTGGTGAATTGCAGCTGTGTTCTTCATTTAGGGAGATCAATCGGGAAACATTGTATAGCCACTTACTATCATAATACTTTGTCCAATGATGAGTTGGTATTCCATCGTACAGGCCAGGGAAATCCTAACATCTTCAGCGAAAGATGCGGAAGCAGTGCAATGGAATACCCTTATCCGTTTCCGCTCCCGAAAATTTGTTTGTGCTTCACTCACAGAACATAAAACATGAATTCCACCAGCGGAGTTACACATGATCTGTAGGCGCCCCTGTATGGTATCTTCAGATTCTGCGTGTAGCTTTCCGTAGCTGTGGCGACAAATGTCCGTAGAAGCGGCATGAATATCCCCACCAGGCTTGTTCACTGCTTTAATTCTCCACACGGATATCTGCTCTAGCGCAGTGCATTAGACTGCCCGTTGTCTGATTCTCTCAGTCTGCGGTCATCATACCAGATCCGCTGCTGCTGCACTCTCGATCGATCTTAAATGGGTCATAAGCTGGACTTCTCAGGTCCTAAAGCCTGAGGTCTTTTCCCGCGAACCCTAGTTAGGGCAAGGATTAGTAAGGCTTACAGGGCACCAGCCGGCGTTTCCCGCGACATCGAAACTATGGCTGGAAACATTGCCATTGGATCCCTTGAGATTACCCATGTTTATCATCCATCGTGCGGAATACCACGCTATGAAACATATCAAGTATGTACCATGGGCCGAACCAAGGGAATATTTTCCTAAAGGGTACGCTAAAGCCAATAACCTGGTACTCTCCCATAGTCTAACAAGTCTCGTGATTCCCTTTTCTTGGCTGGAGGAGAGGTTCTCAATGGCTGTTAATAAACGGGGTTTATCGGAGAGTATCGAGGCGTGTTGAGGGAAGTCTTGGCTGTGTTGAGGGTTGTGGATGGTTGTTGTTAAGTGGATGTTTGGGACCAGTGTTTTGCCTTGTTGTATTTGACTGTGTAGTACATACCGTGGATTTGGAATTTGTCTAGACTATTTGGCTGGGCGAAAGACTGCGGCGGAAGAATTGATAACTCTGATGCCACTGGGCGTATGGTATTGTTGAGGCGTGATCTGATGGGATTCGACAGTGTGGTCTGGAATTGCGCTCATGTTGTGAACATCGCGCTCACTGCACTTCATTAGCTACGTGAAAATAGAATATCGGCCTGTAAGGAATGATTCATCACTGATCACCGCTGCTGTCGTTGACGTGAATGATTCGGTAACTTCCTGCACAAACGACTGGATGTTAGGCGAACCGCTGCACAGCGCGCATAAATCATGCACCGAAAAGCATCGTGCGCATGCAGACGCACAAATGACAGTCGCAATCAGGGCCACACCTGCATAGCGCAGTGGAGAAGATGTGCTGCGGCTCGAATCTCGGAGCTGAACCACCGGGGCTGATCATGCTACGAGGTTCCGAGACATCAAGTTCAGGCCGAGCACCTGATCGGAAATGAAGGCGGCGGTGGCTTCATCTCGGCGCCGAGGAGAGTATGAATGGGGATTTATCGCACCATGTACTTAATGGATGCGCTGCCACCCAAACGAATACGCTGCACGATATTCGCAATTTGTTGGCATTTTGGTGGATGTTTGAGCGAAATATTGAAAGTAGAGGAGTTATTGCTTTTTCGATGACGCCAAGATCTGGCCCGCGGTTCCCAGTCGTAAATGCCACGGATCCCCGAAGCAGGGCCGAGACAGATCTTTGATTCTGGTTCGCTGGCTCCCTGAGCTCTTTGTTAAACGTATGCATTTCTCCCAGTTCCGTCCAATTCAATCGACACGCTTCGATCCTACCCCGGTTTAGCACGATTATCAAATATCTGGCATATCTCGTATATCTATCACCTGGCTCGCGATGAGTTGGTCGATTTGATTCATCACCACGTCACTATTTCTCCACTTTCTCGAATGAGAATTTGTACTCTAAATTCGATGCTGGCTTTCGATGATAACTGGAAGACTTGACGACCTAAGCGAGATTCGAAGTCGATACATTCCATCAAACTACACTATGAGACGTAACGTGGTGGAACAGATGGGAAGCCGGAAATACTGCGTTGGACGTAATTTCGGCTAGATTCCAGGTCTGCAGTATGGTTGCCAAGCATCGATTTCCATTTAGTCGAGGTAGGACTAGAGGCGAGGGGGAGGAAAATGAAGGTTAACTACCTGATAGTATTTGCAAAAGACGATTTTCTGATATAACGGTCACGGTCTTGGCTGACAGTTGATGGTTGTCGTTCGCAGTGAAGAGAAAAAGCGGAGGATGGTAGAGCTTGGCCGTACAAAATCGTGTGCAGATCCGCGAGATGGAAGAGCTCACTCATCTACTCGGGAACCAGCGCCAAGACTTATCATAACACCACCTGATTCAAATCGACCGTTTAACAAAAATGAATCTTTAAGGAAATAAATTGCGATTCTTTATGAGGTAGTCATCAGATATCACTCTGTATCTGGGTCGATGGTCTTGTCGTCTTTGTGAACAAAAAGGGTAGATGATTGACCAAAGAGCAAACGCTGCATGAGGGTGTTCGAGCAGGAGCTCAACCGCATTTTTGGAACCGAGGTGTAATGGGACGGAGCTCGCTATGCTGAAGGTCTGAACTAAGCGATGCATGCATTGCAATGTGTTTGATTTTTCTTTTTTTTTTTTTGATTTCATCATAATATTGTATCCCCAGTTCGCGGTATGCTATCTAATACATCCAACTCCGTCCTTTTCAATATCTTCCGTGATTCCTTGTCGTTGTCTTCTTCTTGTACAGTGTTCTTCGCGCCGGTTGTGTAATGTCGATTGGGATTTGGTTGGTATGCGATTTGGGATTTGGGAGCTCGGTATGAAGCCTTAGGATCAATATATGTTGTACTTACTTTTTGTTTTAACTTTATGTGTGGTGTTCTTGCAATTTTATTTACGGGATTCTGGGAAATCAGCATGCCAGCACGCGTGTCAATTGTGCCAATCCTAAAACTGTCGGAACACAAATATAACATACAAAAGAACAAACAAACGTGAACAACGCAGAGTATCTCACCTCATCCATAACAACTCTTAAAAACTCTTGATAATCATCCAATCCTTTGGCAAATTCGCCGTCGTACTACAATTTACAAACCAAGCGCAACCCTGCAGTTAGGTACAGCATGGAAATCAAACTTTTAAATGCCAGCTCAGAAACTCTATCTCATTTTACCATTTTGTTCATACTCCCACGCTGATTTTCACGAAATTTTCGATCATCGGAGTGACTTTCGCCTCGGTTTTCATAACGTTCAACAGCGGCTCCAAATATTCGTTTGTGTCGTTACGATTGTTCGAGTCAAAGAGAAGGCCATCTTTTAATCCAATGCTGCTCTCTGCATTCATAATATCAGGTATCTCACCATCTTCAATATCCAGGATTGCTGCCAATTCCGCCAGGTAATCCAATTCACATCCATCCCGAGAATGCGTGGTTCCCCGTCTAGTCCTCTTTATATTGTCAGAAAGTATGTCATCGGCAATAACTGGAGAGTTCTCCACATTGACGTCAGTGGTCGTCTCCACCTTAGAGCATTTATACTCTTCATTTCTAGCCTTTCTTTGCGTTTTAGACTCCAGTTCCTCCAACTCCGCTTCAGTGGCCGTCTGATTAATAGCCTCGTTGACAACCTTTGTGTTGAATCTTTCGTACCAAATATGTACACCGGGGTATGGCGCTGGAGGAGGAGGCCTCGCGCGGGTCCTTCCTAGCATGGCATCAACCATTGCCTCTGATATCGAGTTAGTTTCTTCCATAGTGTAAAAGATGCATTTTTCTGTTGGGGCGGGAGACCTACGATTACGTGCCTGCACTCTATCGGCTTCATCCATGGCGTCATCTGTAGGGTCGGGTAACGCTGTTCTCGGATTCATCTCTGGCATCGTGTCGGTCCTATCCGTCAAATTCGGCATGATGAAGATAATATGCGGAAGGTGGGATTGTAAGAACGGTAATTGTTTTGAAGCTTTGTTGAGTGGTGTCTCTCTTAGGCGAACGTGGAGGATTGGTTATCGCGCGGTCGATGACTGTATCATGGAACACGTCGGTGGCGGTAAGCTAGGCTGTAACAGTCATATCTCCATGAGCCACACATCATAAAGAAGTGTAAACGGTTACAGGTTAGCTCTTTCTCTACTTTAAGGTACGAGGAGCCACATAAGATAAAGCAAGCGTCAAGATAATCACAACGGAATTACGTTGGGCCGGCAGGAAGTTACGGCTACTCGATCAAACACATAAGGGGTTTAATGGCTAACTACAAGAACAGAATGACGGCCGTCATAGCGTTTTATAAAGCTAATAGACTTCGAAAAAAATGAAAACTGCTAACACCTCGCAAGCTTCACTGACCACAGATACGAGTGACGCTTAAGCGTATATCATGTGTGTTATGCACATCGTTTTCCTAAACTTAAAGTAATTGTGACGAAATGAAAACATTCTACATGGTTTCCGGTATGCATCTCAGATTTTAGAAGATCTAGCAGCGCGGGAGGTGTAGCAGTTACCGGTAGTTCGAAGACCTGTCGCGATCTAGAGGAACCCTCGATTCCTTGCAAAGCAGGCCTGTTGCAGAGACTGACGAGATCAATAAAGATCTCTGACGTGTGAATATGATGGTCTATGTAAGCCATCGAAAAACGAAGAGACTGCCGTTCCATCTCACCGCCGCTCACGCGATCTGCCAATACCGAGTGCAACTCCATGACACGCCTTCTCTTCGACCCCATAACCCAAGTTTGACCCCTTCTAACTTTCTCCGGTACCAACTAACGCTAATTCGGCGAAATCAAAAAGAGTGGTGCACGAAGCTGGAGTCGAACCAGCGATTGTCGCTGCCCCATCTTCCCATTTGTTAACGTTTGAGGTCCGAGGACCTCGGATGTTCAAGCCTAAGAAGACGAGACGCTACGCCACTAGGTTATGCGTGCACCTGGTATGATTAGGGACTCAAAAACTGATACTAGAATGTATTAGCGGTTTAACATGCTGCGCTATCACTCTCCTTCCTTCCTTCCCAGAGGCAGGAATGGATAATTACAACACCGTGATCAACGCCCGCAACGACTACTTAAACGTTTGTGCATCACCACAACCACAGCCACACCGCCCGAGTGAACCTCGCGACATTACCACACAACCAATCATTGAAGACTTGGGTAATTATAACCTAATGGTTAAGTAACGCAATTCTCCTCCGACACCACACACATCATCAGCCACAACCCTCCTCATCTTTTTCTTTACTCCTAATCAGGCGTTGTTCTCCATCTCCATGCGCCACTTTGCACGGTATCTCATGGTGTCACGACTGACGACTCACCGTAGAGGCTTATTTACACTCCATTAGCCACTTTACTCTCCACCGCGACTCAACTGACTGAGTCTGACTCTAATCCCACAGATTCCCACTTTCTCAATTTTTATGGACTTCTCCTTCGACTCCGTTAGATTATGCCGAGGCCAGTACATCCATATCTCGCTCAATATCCAAGTTGTCACGCGTCACATTCGCTTGCCACCGCTATACATCTGTCCTTGACACACACATGATTCTGAACAAAAAGCAAAATACCAAAACCTCCATATGAATTTCAATCTCCGAGAAAAACAACACTAAACTATCATCACTACTCACTACTGGACACTACTCTATTCCAATTTCAATTTCCTTCTGTATTATCTAACCTAGGGTTTTGGGCTTCAAGAGCTCTACAGAACACCCCTGTGCCCCCCGTTCCCTACCAACTAGCAAAAAAATTAAAATATAAATCGAATTAAATAGGGCGCTCTTATGCCGCAAAGTTCTGAGTCCTATTATCCGAAGATCGTGACCTCCTTTTCCTCCTCGCGCGTAGCCCTCGCGACCAGTCACCCGTGTCCCCTTACAGTGAACAAGACTAAATAAACAAACAAGTAAACAACAAAAGAAACTCGTGAAGCGTGAGAAGCGCAAATTCCACACCCATTCTCGTGTAGCCATGCGCGCGCACTATTGAATATTACACAGCTCAGGACAGGTGCTTCCTGCGCCCGATGTCGATGAGGACTCATAACCATTCTCCGACCCCTCATCTCCCCCATCCTGAGCGCTTTCCTCCGTCTCTAACAGGAATTCATTGATGTCTGAGAGAAATTCATCGATGTCTGAGGGCAATCCATCGAGGAATTTGTAAACTTTACCATCTACACGCTCCAGTGTTTCTTTCCAGGCGGCCATATCCTTTGCGTACTGCGCTTCTTCCTCCGTGTCCGGTGCACTTTCCTCCTCCTGCACACTTAGACTTTCCGCCCGAAGTCAAGCCCTGCACTCAGACGTATATCTCACTTCACGCCGACGATCCTCTAGCTTCATATCTCTCTTCAGTCCTTCAGGGCCTTTAGAAATCCTTTCGTGGACTAGCTTGCGAAGGTCTTCTGCTCCCACTCCGGTGCAGTTCCAACATTCAATGCTGTTGACCGGTAAAAGAACTCGATCAGGTCTATTAACCCGACATTTCTTTTTATTTCCAACAGTCTTCTTACATCCGTATCTGGGGTAAACAAAGAACCATTTGCCGTGCTCGCAGCCTCGGAGCGTTATTTTGCCCATGATACACATGGTGATATTTGGTGATTGGTGTAGGTGATGGATGGGGATGTTACGATTGAGAGATGGCAGTCGATAGGTAAACGAGCGAGTGGAAATCTAAGAGATTAACGCAGATACCTATGACGGTTAAAATTAGCTGGGTAACGAATCAACACAGGAGAAAAACAAGTCTTACGTATTCGGAGTAATCAACGTTCCAACGACGATGATTTGGTCTATGCTGAGGAGAGTGGCTGAACTCGTTGCGAATTTCCGCAAGATAGTCTTGAGAAAGTTGTACAAAAGACGGTAGATCTGGCGCCGGTAAATCTAGGTAAATCAGCGATTTAATGTAAAGTGTTAGCAGTGCTATTCAAAGGGGAGCAAAAAATTTGAAAAGATAAAGGAAATGCACTGGCTTACTTTGTGTAATCAAAGTTTTGAATGGTGAGGCCACCTTGACTGCGACTGACAAGATTGTGGTGAAAGGTAGCGAGCGTCGCAAGTGCAGCGAGAGAGTGATACTTAAGCACATTTATTGTTTCACAACCCATTGTTTTATTTTTTGTCACACCTGATGCCTGGAGAATTACTTCGGGGCAAACAATTGTATTTGAAGAATTCTGACGCTAATTCCTTCAGCTCAACCAGACAAAGTGCAGTCACAGCACTACAACTGCAGGTTACTGAGTCATGGCACATCACTCGACAAGCACTCCGACATTGAATGTGAATGTCCAATACGTGACCGCACAGTAGGTCACAACCAATAATAGTATTCCTTGACACCATATCCTTTGCGGCGTTTGTCATTCGGAAAATTGGATAGCGTGAACGATAGCCTAGCATTCCGCGACAACCACGGCCCGTGCTCCAGTTGAAGCACTCGACAAACGCTCCGATATTGAATTTCGGTGATACTCAGCAATTAAAGCAGGTCACATACCATAATATGTTTCCTCGGCATCCTATTGTTCATGAAGGTGGTCGTTCGGCGACTTTGATACCTTGAATGATAGCCTAGTCACCGGCCACAACCACGACTGGTGTTCCCATTGATGCCGATCGGAATTCTCGGTACCGCTCTATATAGAATGCATGAACCATCAGGCTTATCTAAACTGCCGATATCTAAGCTCTAGGATATTCAATCCGTTACACTGGACAGTGGTTAACCACATTCCGTCTACTGGATTACCATCCCTGTGGCTGTATCTCGGATGCTGGCAAAGGCATTCTATTTGCCTGGCCATGACGAGGCCGTCAGTTCTCTCGGGATCAGCACGATATCCACTGGCTTATCTCGATCTCTCTTTCGTGGTACACTCTGATCACACTGAGAAAGGTTAACCAAACGCAACTTCTAGAAGTTTCCCATTATTTTTCCGTACGAGCTATGCTGTAGGCCTTAAATGATTACACCCGCATTCATGTACCTGATACCTACTTCAAAGATTGATACCTCATATCATTAAGTAACGTCTTGAAGTATGTTCGACCGTTGCCTCCCTACTCGAGATTCCCCCGTACACGAAACAAGGTATGACTTTAGATGCGTGATGATGCGCCAGTCATCAGCAAGGCAACCAGCCGCGCTACAGCCCGCCTCGCTATTCAGCGGACACTGCTCAAACGAGGCAACGCAAATCGTGATGAAACATCTTCATATCTTATCTACAAGTCAAAGATGTGTTATAGTAGATGAGTAATAGATTTCACGGTGTTGTGTCGTGATGGTTTTCATGGTCGAAGTTTGGTGGGTGACCTTGGTTGTCGCCGAGATGACTAGTGTCATTCCTTGATATGCCCGACATATCGAAAGCCATGCCTTGTTTCGCTGGTTGGGGACCTCTTGAGACAACCCACTTTAGCGCGACTTTTCAACTGCGCATGACTCACCACCACAACACAGTATGATATTTTTATTCAAGTTACGCGGTAGTATTGCATCCAGATAAGAACGTAGCTGCGTTCGATTTTTATTTTTGGTTGCGGTTGTCCAGACATGCTCGTTCAAAGTGGCGGGTTTTTGGTGTGGCACACCTGCAATGTCTGCACCCTTTTTCATTAGAAATATCATTCGTTCCTTCCTGATCCGGTAATATGAATGAGATATAAAGTAGTGAGTTTCTAGACGCGCTAAACCACATACAACTAGGCTTGAGTGATGCTTCGTGCATCACAGGACCCTATACATTACCCGTCTCTCCCAGTCCCCCCTCAATGCTCTCCCAAAGCACGCACAAAATAGTCGCGCTATACCCGATTAGGCTTAGATTTTTGGCTGGAGGGAATGCCCGATGAATTCCGTCTCAAGGGGTCCCCAACCATACGAGGGAATCTCGGGTAGGGAGGCACGATCTAGTGCTACACTTTTAGAATGAATTGTTTTTTATCATGCATTTCCAACAGTTAGGGTGATTCTTGATGAAAGGTGCGGAAATGTGAGAAACTATCTGCTGGTTTTGTGTTCTACATCACGTGGTAGCACGTACGAGGCTACAAGCCTTGGCAATTCTTGTACTACGGCCCATTCAGTAAAATATCCATTACATTGTCAGATACTGTACTTACAAGAAGTCATACCAGTACAAACTGTACAATCATATAAGTACCCAGGTTATCCGGTAATTGTGACGTCCTCCTCCTGTAAATTTACCACTGTTTAGTTCCCCACATCACAACGATCGTGACCCCTCTGGAACCCCTCTGAATGACCTCTCGCCAGTACCTAGTACTAAACTCCCACCAAAACATTCTCAACACGACAGTCCCCACTCTTTACACCTCTCACACCAAAACACCTCATACCTTTTCTTCTGCTTCCGAAACTTCATCGTGACCAATGCGCGATCCCAATATCCAGCGAGCTTGTGATGTTTGAGGAATTGTTGCTTGGATTTGCATTTGTAGGAGTTGCCGAATACTTCTCCTTTTGGGCAAGGTGCGATTTTGTACCAACTTCCGAAGCATCCGGCGCAGCGGTATTTGATGAGCTTACACATCTTGACACTTGGGAAAACTTCGCGTAACAGATCTGTGGCGATGGTCAAGTATGGTGAAGTTTCAGGTATGATAGAGGAGGGGGTGGGGTGTATTTATGCGCAGGTGTCTTCATGGGCACAATAAAACGAGTTGCTGTGAGAAGAGAAAGACAAAACAAAGTTACGGTATCTAGAGACAAAGGCACTTTGAAAGATTCCGTCCACTGACGGCGGTATCCGAAATCCGATAACAAGTTCTTTTCACAAAATTCATAGACGTACAATAGTTGCCATGGATGGCGGATTCTGCACTTTGATAATTTACACAACCTCTGTATGTAAGATCACTCTAATATTTTTTATCTCCTACGTATAT